GTAACCCAAACCCAGAAGGACAAACATGGTATGTACTCACTCATAAGTGGATACTAGATATAAATCAAAGAACAATCAGACTGCAACCCACAGAACCAGGGAGGCTATATAGCAGGGGGGGGGGTCCCTGGGATGACTGTGGCTTATAATAAGTTTTGGTTTTACTCAATTACTGGGCAAGCCTCAATGAAACATTTCACTATTAGGATAAGAATTTATGCGCACGCCTTTAATCCCAGCACTCGAGAGGCAGAGCCAGGCAGATCTCTGTGAGTTCGAGGCCAGCCTGGTCTCCAAAGCGAGTTCCAGGAAAAGCGCAAAGCTACACAGAGAAACCCTGTCTCGAAAAACAAACAAATAAAACAAAACAAAACAAAAAAAAAGAATTTATACTGTATCAAGCTGATAATAGAAAAATAAATAAAAAAAATGGTTTTCTATTAAAAAAATTTGTCTTGACAAGATAATTAACTAAGGCTCACTATGCAGAATTTTCTGTTTTCAAGACAGAGTTTCTCTGTATAACAGTTCTGGCTGTCCTGGAACTCGCTTTGTAGACCAGGCTGGCCTTGAACTCACAGAAATCTGCCTGCCTCTGCCTCTCAAGTGCCAGGAATTAAAGGAATGCACCACTACCACCCAGCTTACTAATCAGAAATTTTAAAGATTTTTTTTTAAATTATTTTTATTTATGTGTATGTATCTGTATGAATCAATGCCATGTGTGTGCAGGGACCCTCAGAGGCCAGAAGAAAGTATCAGATACCTTAGAACGTTTGACATGGGTCCTCTGGGAGAGCAGCAAGTGCTCTTAATCACTAAGCCAGCCTTCCAGCTCCATGCAGAAACTTTAATGAGCTGACTACTACAGAATGGAGCTGTGTTTCTTTTGCTTGCAGGCTGGCTCCAAATATTAGCAACAAGCAACCTGATTTCAAATAGCAGCATCTAAATTTGTAAAATTAGGTGCCAAATTTGACCTGTTTCTTAAATGCAAAAGCAATGTTTAAAGAATGAGAATTTGCCACCAGGAATAACTCACAGAACAATATCCCAAAGTAAATGGTTAAAAAAAATGCTCACTTTATCAGCACCTGAGCTAAATAATCACCCCAAATCATAACATTTATTAGTAGATATAGTTAAAGAAAAACATGAACTCCTCCCACACCATGTTCAATATTTTCTTTCCCTGTTTAAGCCAGCGAATAATCATCTGCAGATGTAAAAAAATCAACATTAATGATAGGTATTTGTTTAAAAAAAAACAAAGTTGACTATGGTGGAAGTACTTAGTAGGTCTGAGGCAGGAGGCGGCAAACCTAGGCTACTTATGAAGCTACGGCCTCAGCACACCAATTGGTTATCCAATACCAAATGGTCAGCCCTGAAAGAAATATATACAAGTACCATACAGATGAGCAGGTTGTTATATATTCAGGAATGCAATTACTAAAGTAATTATTAAAGAAAGAAAAAGAGACTGGAATTTGAATGAGGAGGTACAAGGGAGGGAAGAAAGGAAAGGGAGGAAATGATGTAAACACACACACACACACACACACACACACACACACACACACACCCCTTAACAGGCTTTTAGCAGAAAGTACTTCAAACTTTAAGCCATTAACTGGTTTTCAGTTTAAATGAAATAATGCAAAAGGCATACATATTTGTGAGACACAAAAAAATGATTCACTATTAAACCTCTTTACTTGCTGGGCACACTTGTGGTAGTGCACACCTTTTAATCCCAGCACTCGGGAGACAGAGCCAGGAGGAACTCTGTGAGTTCGAGGCCAGCCTAGTCTACAGCTTGAGTTCCAGGACAGGGTCCAAGGCTACACACAGAAACCCTGTCTCGAAAAATCAAAAGAAAAAAAAAAAAATGAGCTGTTGTTTAATGTGAAACTACAGTGAAAAGTCAGTTTATGATAAATTTTTTCAAATGCCATACTAAATACAAGCAATAAATCTTCGGCAAATTTACATTTTTGTATGTCATGGAATATTTTATCAAGAGTATCACAATGTATAACTCTTAGCACCCTGTGTGTTGTTATGGAAAATAACAGGGATTAAATAACATTCAGGAGGCAGAGGCAGGTGGATCTCTGTGAATTCAAGGCCAACCTGGTCTACAGAGTGAGTTCCAGAACAGCTAGGGCTACATGGAGAGAACCTGTCTTGATACCCGCCCCCAAAAGTATTAGTCTCCACCCCACCCCTAACACTTTACATAGTCGATAATCAATATAGATGCAACAGATCCAAGGTCTAGGTTATAATTCAGTGGGAGAATGCTCGATGAGTTTTATGCATAAGGCCTAAGGTTTCATCGCTAGCAAGCACCAAGAAACAAACAAAATAATGAATGGCAGCACTTCTTCCTTCCTATCAGATTAATTAGCATCTCAAGTGAGATCAGGTCATCAACAGCAGGCTTGCTCTTATACCAGATTTAATTCGCATGGTAATAACAGACTTTAAAATAGAAAGGAGAGGTTCCAATATTAGTTACCTGCACAATTGGCGGAGTTGTCTGTGAATAAGGAGATGTCACACCATAGACAGTTGAACATGTCTGTCCTTGATAATATATAGTTGCTTGAGACTGTGCAGGAGAGTACTGTTGTTGTACATTGACAGATTGTTGGTTTGAATCCCAAACACTATAATTCTGTCCTTGGACTGGGCCTGGAGCTTGTACTGGCATTACAGGAACATTGGAGTCTTGGTGTACCACACTTTCATTCTGAGCCACATACTGTGAACTGGAAACTTCCACAGAGGTTGCCACATGTGGCACCACTGGCACTGATGAAGGGGCAGCAAGGGATTCTGTAGAATGTCCTACCAAGGGCTGAGCATGGTCATAAGGAGCGGGAGAACACACATGGTCCATGCTGGGTGTGGGCAGAAGCACCTTTCCAGCATTAGGGTTGCTGGGATCCACGTAAGCTTGCATGGGATAACCTGGTGGATAGCCAGCAAAGGGGTGATGAGAGGCATTATAGCCCAGAGAGTCAAAGGGTAGTGGTGATGTCATCCCCAAGTTTTGCATCTGTTGCTGTTGCTTCTGAGCCTCCCTCTGTGCTACCTCCTGTTCAAACAACTTCCTGCGCTCCTCTGTAGAAAGTTTATTCCGGTCTTTAATTCGTACTTTCTTTTTAGAAGTTGGTGTATCATATCTACAAAGAAAACCATAAAAGGTTACCAAATCATGGATATAATCCAAAAGATTTATAAAACAGTAAGGCACTCATTGATATTTCTTCTCAAATCATGAAGTAACCACTAACCACATTAAGTCTAATTTGGCACTGGCTAAAAGTCATACTCAAAATTAGTTAATGAGAACTGTTATCAAGGGCTAGCTTAAATTCAGCATCCAGCACTACACAAAGAAAGAAAGGGGGCTGGAATGATGGCTCAGCAGTTGAGGGCCCATACTGCTCTTGCAGAGAACCAGAGTGCAGGTCTCAGCACCCATGTCAGGTAGCTCACAACTGCCTATAACTCCAGTTCTAAGCGGATCCAATGATTTCTGGCATTCAAAGGTACTCATTCATGTGCATGCCTTTGTGCACACACACACATATTTTAAAAAAAACTAATCTTTAAAATACATTGGGCTGGGGAATATAGCTCAGTGGTAGAGTGTGTATCTACCATGTACAAGGCCTTGTGTTTAATTCTGACGTGCCATTAAACAAACAAACAAAAAGTAAGAAGCCTGGCAGCCAGAACGGAACTCCCAGGAAATCCAACACTTGAATAATTCTATCTCTATTCTTAGTTAAACCAGCCTCCTATTCTTCTTTAGAATTGAGGCTGATTCTGTAACCACAAATACTGAGATTTTAAAACTTTAACTCGATGAAACCCATTTCTTTGTAAAGAAGTAAGAAGAAAAGAAAAGGTGACACAAGGAAAGAAATGGTCCAGCATCAATCTAATCCAGTGCTCCGAGCGTCCTAGGGCATCTGAGCTGGATCCCAACACGCAACAAAAGCCCGGAGCACTAGCTGACAGCTGTCATCTCAGCACTCAGGAAGGAGCCTAAGGAAGGAGGCCCTAAGTTAGGCCAATCCCGTCAACAGAGTGAGATCCTTTCTAAAATAGATCAATAAAATACAACTATATGTGCTTAAATATAAACTGCAACACTTTATTAATCCTCACATCTATCATTATGAAAAAAATCTGTTTTAAGACTCATCAGTAAAACACCCCCTCACCCCCACCCCCTGGAGCTGAGGACCGAATCTAGGGCCTTGTGCTTGTTAGGCAAGCGCTCTACCACTGAGCTAAATACCCAACCCCCAGTAAAATTTTATACTTACTTACCTAGAAGATACTAATTCCAAAATCCACTTGTGTGTGTGTGTGTGTGTGTGTGTGTGTGTGTGTGTGTGTGTGTGTGTGTGTGTCTGTCTGTCTGCCTGCCTGCCTATCTTTTGAGACAGGGTCTCACCATGTAACTCTCTGGCTAGCCTAAAATTTGCTATATATAGCAGGCTGGCTCTGAACTTTCAATAGCCCTACCTGTCACAAAAATGTTGGGGTTATAGCTGTATGCTACTGTGCCCAGTCTTAACTTAGAAACTGTTTTTTGTTGTTGTTAAATAAACCTGTCTTCCATTTATTTATTTTATTCATATGAGTAGGCACACCATAATACAGTTTTGAAAGTCAGAGAACAACTTGAGGGGCTTAGGTGTTTCTTTCCTTCATGTGAGTCCTGAGAAAAGCTTGACAAAGAGATCTTTACCCACTGAGCGATCTCTGTGGCTTCATTTTCTTTTAAACTCTTTCAGAGTTTCACACACATATATAATGAATTTTAGTGTGGCACCCTTGCATTCCCATCCTCCTCCTTCTGAAACCCTTCTTTTTCCAACAAGTCCTCCTACCTAAAAAAAAAAGTCTATTCTACTCCATTTACTGTGCAAGTGGTGTGTGTATGGGCACCAGAGCTCAAACGTGGATGCTAAAGCAGGTTTCTTCCCTTCACCAGGACTGAACTAAGGACCATCAGGTTTGGCTCCTTGACCTACTGAGCCATCTCACCAGTCCTCCACCCCTCCATTTTCATGTCTGCCTTTGTGACCTGACTTGCAAACCTTTGCATTTGCCCAAATAAGAAAAACTCACACTCACCTGTCATCCGGCCTTTTTGTTCCCCGTTCATAGGCGGAAGAGGGTGGTGAGAGAGAGCCCCTTCGTTTCCTTTTCTCTTTATTCTGAGTTGACTTGTCCGGGTCTCTCTCTCTTGACCTGTTAGGAGTCTTTGGAATGGTTTGATCTCTGAAGGTAGCAGCATCCCTTCCTCGTTCAGTTACTAGGGATACAAGTTATTTTTAAAGTTTATTTTAGTAGGAAAATAACACATTAAGTATATAATAAAACTTCTATCCAACACAAATGTATGGATTCTTCCCCTCATTTAGTAGTGACTTTGAATTTAAAGGTTCTAGTTTTTAGTTGCTTGACATTGAGGAATGAAAACAAAATTCCTACTTCCTCATTCTAAGTCTTTAAGTAAGAAGATTTCATATGCAAGGGAAAAACTGAATTTATTATATGAAAGACTGCTCCTGAAAATATTCAAGATCACCCTTTGCAGTTCCCCATGTCTAGATTAGACTAGATACTTAGAAAACACTGGAGATAACCCTCAGATATTTAAGGACTGAGTATAGTGCTAATGGCCTAATGTAGGTAACCCTAGACTGGTAGCCTCTAATAACTTTACATTGATGTCACTGGTTCTACCAAGAAAAAAATGCCCAGCACTATTTTCTTTCTTACACAAGTTCTTTATAGCCCCATTTAGGAAGTTTAGCTATGAAAAAAATAAACCAGTAGAACCTTAAAATGTGCAAAAGATGTAACAATGGAGTGAAGAATACCACATAGGTCTTTATTTAAAGTATAAAACATATGCTCATTAAAACAAGGTAAAGGCCAACACACACACACACACACACACACACACACACACACACACACACACACACAGTGGGTGGGGAGGTTTTTTCACTCTAGCAACACTGGGTCATTGCTAGAAGGGATTCAAGAAACCATTAACTGAATTCATTGCTTTAGTTCCTTAGAGTTTGTTAGAGACACAATGAGGCAGTAAAATCAAGTAACCACGACTACCATGGAACTTGAACTATCTCTGAGCGAATCTCTAATGATGATTCTGAGCTTTCTCAGTAGTCACTGACTTCTTGACAATCTGGTAAAGACTTTTTTCTTTTTTAGCATTCCCTGGTAAAGTATACATATACATGCACACACAACTCTACATGTAAACAGCTAAGGGAAAACACTGCTCCACAGACCTCTAGGAATATAATATAGAGTTAAGAATGTCTACTTTGAGGTGGGAGAGATGCTCAGCAGTGAAGAGCACTTGCTGTTCTTGCAGAGGACTTGTGTTAGATTTCAAATACCCACACAACAGCTCACAACCACCTGAAAGTCCAGTTCCAGATAATCTGGTACTCTTTTCTGGCCTCTGAGGGTAACACACACACACAATACACACACAATACATACACACACAATACA